TGGTCAAGGGAATCACCCTGTCAATGTTGTTGAGCTATTCAATCTTCGTCATGCTTCTTTAAGCAATGTGATTGAACGGATATTTGGAATATTCAAGTCACGCTTCACAGTCTTCATAACAAAACCTCCATTCTCTTATAAAAAAACAAGCAGAACTAGTTTTGGCATATGCAGGAGTACATTATTTTCTTCGGCGTGAATGTCGATCTGATGAGTTTCCTCCAGACCCAGAAGAAGACCCACCTAGCGATAATGAGGATAATTTTGAATGGGATGATTTTCATACACAAGATCAACAGAGGGCAAAAGCCAATGAATGGAGAATGAATCTTGTTATTCAAATGTGGGCGGTTGCAGAAAATGAATAATTTTGATCCATAGTTCAATCGCACAAAACATTTATTTCAATTTTGTGCAGTGATTACATTTGTTTATGTTGTTTAATGCTTATACTTGAATTTTTTATTTGTCATATTTTTTAGAGAACATTGGCTATTATATTTTTCATATTTTTTATTTGCCTTCATAGACTTTCATATGAATGATCTGGTAGGATGGATGTTTGATCTCTGTGCATTTTATAATTCTAGAAGTCTGGTCTATTAAAATCTGGTTTAATTTGATCTGCTTTGAAATAAGTCAAAGTCAAAGTTTATGGGTCTGTTGAAATCCATAGAAGTCATTCATATAAAAGTCATTCATTTTAAAAATCCATGGATTAAAAGTCAATGGATTTAAAAGTCCACGGATTAAAAGTCCATGGATTTAAAAGTCTGTAGACTTTTTTAGAAATCCACAGATTAAAAAATATCCACCACAATCCACAGACAATACACCCCCTTAATTTGTCTCCTCATTGTGCATCTGTTTGTGGATTCAAAATTTATACCCGACCCGTACTACATAGAACATACTCTAATAATACGAATGCTAGGCATATTACTTCTTAGGGCATCCTCATTTATAAGTTTATTTAGGGATCATTTTGATGGTGAATAAGATTTTTTCAGAAATTATGGTTGATTAGATGAGATTATTTTGAAAGATTTTTTAGAAAAAAAAATGGTATCAAATCCTCGATTATTCGATATTATTCTCAACTTTCAATAAATACATTTAATTCAGCCATGTCTTTTACTAGCCCCGTCCCACTAAATTCAGTCATACCTTTATATAGGCCTGTCAATGGGTCGGGTCTAGACCCGGACCCGACCCAGACCCGGTTGTTTTTAACGGGTACGGGTCTATATTTTATTCCGTTTACCCGGACCCGGATCCAGACCCGTTAGTATTTTAAATAAATGGGTCAGGTATGGTACATATGATTCCGACCCGTTAAGGACCCGAACCCGTTTAAAATTTCTTATTTGTATACACATAAACTCAAACATAAAGTGATTAGTTATAACACATTAAATAAAATAGAAACTAATATACATATATACATAATACAGTAATACATAAAGTTATTAGTTGTGAATTTGTGATTATTCAATAAAAATATACACATTAATACATAAATACTATATAACTGATATTGATCAAGATAGTAAGATACCCTAAAACTAATATTTATTACTATTATTTTTAATATTATTATATCATTATCATATATAATACTACATATGATTTTATACTCTTAGTAGTCCAAGAGACCTTTTTATGACTTAATTTCTAGTTTATTCTACGAGTTTTTTGTGTAAGAGAAAGCGGCGCAAAGTGTGGAGCTATATGCATGTACAAGAACCGATACTTTATTAGATAAAAGTACTAATTTTCTATGAGAGACCTTGATTTTTTTTTTAAAGTGAAGATATATTTTGCTTTTAAATTTGTACATTTTGCTGTACATTTCACATACATGTTTTGATATTTTCACAAAGTTTATAATGATGTGTGTATTATACTTGGCGGGCGGGTCTACCCGACCCGATTCTGAGACCCGTTGGGTCTGAGTCCGGGTCCAAATTTTCAGACCTGCCGGGTAAACGGGTCGGGTCCGGGTCCACTATTAACTTAGCGGGTCCGGGTCTGGAACACTACGTTCCAACCCGGACCCGACCCATTGACAGGCCTACCTTTATATAAGAGTGCAAGATTTTGGCTTTGGGTGTGTACAATTAATTAATTGTGTTAATTGAATTATCATTTTTGAGTTTTTGAGGATGACGACCAATTTTACAGTTATTAATTTTTTAGAATGACGGCAATTAGCAAATAAATGAACCCAAAGAGAAATAATACTTTTATTAGATTAACCTTCACTCATGTGTTATTAGGTTGCAATTTCTATAATCTGCACTTTACTCTCTGTAGTTGTGAACTTCCATATTTTTTTTGAAATAAATATGAAAATAAACATGCAAGAGTGCATTATTAATATTTGAAATACTACACTATTTAAAATTCAACTCTTGCAATTTCTAACAAAATGTAATGCACTTTTATCATGTGCGTTTATATATATATATATATATATATATATATATATATATATATATATATATATATATATATATATATATATATATATATATAAGTGCACTATTTTACTCATGTATTACAATTTCTACATTGACACTTGTTATAACTAAAATACATTTTTCCTTCCAAAAAAATGAGAATTGTTTGATTATGGTGGTGTCTTATGTTGTCACTTGAATTTGCAAAAAGAGAAACCTAAAAATAATGGAAAGTTCACGAAATAAGTGCATCAAAGTTTAACAATATGTTTTGACAAAATAGGGGCCAAAAGTGCATGAAATGTGAACTTCTATATCACATTTTCTCAATTTTTACATTGACATTTTTTTACAAAGTGATATACACCTTCGTTTATTGTATTATACAAATTTACATTCTCATTTTGGTACAAAACATAATGCACTTGATGCACTTTTGTGGTGCACCATTAGCATCCCTTGATGGTAGACTGGCACGCTCCAATCTCGTTCTATGTTTTCATTTTTATAATCTCCATGATGGGCAAATAAAATTACAATGTGTACAATAATTTGCACGGTAATCTGCGTAATGTTGCGCTATTAACGACTATAGATGTAGTTCCTTCAACAAAATGAAAGATACATTTATCATGTGCATTTGAAATATATACAAAAATGCACTACTATATCACGCTTTTAACAATTTTACTATACCACACTTCTTACAAAATCCGATGCACTTTTCTTCCAAATTGAACGTAATTGTATCATTGACACAACAATGTATAGTAAAATTAATTATAAGATAAACAGCATTATCCAAACAATATAGACTTGTGTAAAATTAATTATGATTTGTATACTTATGCAAAGTATACTTAATTATAGTAAAATATAATTAAGTATCTAATTAAGATTGACTTGTATAGTAAAATTAATTATAAGATGAACTCAATCAACATATCTATGTGTGTATACTAATTAAGATTAATTCATTGTATCCATGTATTACTGAAATATAGATAAAAATACATCTTAAAATAGTGGATGATGGTTGGTAGTGGGTGGCTTTGAGATAGGAGACAGATGGTATATGTAAGCATAAAAAACAAAAGCAAAAATTCGTGAAAAGATAGAACATAAAATATAGATAAAACATAAATTGATGAAATGATCCAGAAAAAAGTGTACCAACCTTGAAAGAATGATGCCTTCCTCTGTGTGATTCTGTGTGAAGGGATTGAGATGTTGAGAAGAATGAATTTGCGTGTGAATGAATCATAAAGAAATTGGATGAATAGCTATATGGATGATTGAACTTGGAAGATTGTAGGGAGAGAGTTATGGATGCAATTATCATTTTTTAGGGAAGAGGAAGATTTTTGTTAATTGTGGAAGCAGTCGAATATGTTAAATGTGATGCAAAAATCTCACTTTTTCCCTTAATGAGGGAGTGCCGAATTAATAAAAGAAATCAAGTTCTAACGGATGATATTTATTCTTATTTTTCTCCTAAGATGTCTTTCTCACTTGAACCACAATCTATATATGGGGAGAGGATCATGTGCAAATTGTGCTTATCGTGCAAACGTTTGTACGATGCATCTTTACATTATTTGTATTGCATATTGAGGTTTAAAGTGTTGCATATTATTCAAGTCATAATATATTAGTTTCATATTAACGTTCAAAGAGTTGCATCCTAAAAGTTTGCTTTTATTACAAAAATGCAACATTGCCTTTATAGCCTTTAGATCAACTCATCGGATGGTCAAGATGAGTCGTAGGTTAGTAAATTAACTAATTAAGCATGATTTGTATTTGATCTCTAATATATAGCGTTATATTTAGTAATTCTCTTTGCTCAAGCTAGTAACCAATTTTGGCTAATTAGCTTTCTCAAGTAAAAGGAAAAGCAATACTCCAGTGATAAGATATTGGCTTTAAAATTGCAAGCAAGTCCTCAAAAGGAACCATTGGAAATGCTCTAATATGTCTGATGTGGGCAATCATACCAAAATCGACAATCAACCCAAACAACACCAAAGTCTAAAACTACATAAAGTTTGCACACACCATTGTTAAGAGCTCATATGGTGAAAATAAAATACATCAAAAGTCAAAACGATTGAATGATCTGAGACACTAATATTTAACCGAGGACTAGGCAGTTTATGTTGAGTTGAGTAACTCATATTACTATATTTATCAATAAATTAAAATAATTGTATAAAATTAAAGGGTTGAATTGAAGCTTACCCTTCAGTTAAGAATTCCAATGACTCATTCTTACCGGCTTACCCCTTGTAAGGAACTTTTTTGGAGAGAAAATGGGAGGTCTAATACTCGAATATACTTGATGTCATTTAGGAGATGCCACATCTCATTAAAAGCTCCAGTTTTGAATTGGCAGGGAAATTAATTAAGAAATGAATATTGTAGTAACCAATTTTACCACGATCACACATGCATTTCAGTCCCTTGTGAATGCTTCGGACATAATAATAAAGTGAAGGCGAAAGTGGGTCCCACCTGCTTCACTCCACGACCATGCTTAAAAAAATAACATCACGTGTTTGCAGCCTTGCAGGGTCGGATCAGAAAGTTACAATGGGGTGGGTGGCTAAGGAAAAAAATTGAAAGAAGCGTACATAATAATATTCATCAAAACATCACTTAAGTTGTATCCTACGTCTATAGTCTATACTCTATATTATTGACGATAATAGAATCTACATCTATATTATTGACAAATTCTCTATCAATGTAAATCATCAATAAATCTTCAAGAAAATCTCCCATTTTGTTACGAAGTGCCATCTTCACATGTTTCATTGCTGAAAATGTTCTTTCCGTAGTAGCAGTAGAAACAGGTAGGGTCAAAACAAAACGAATTAATCTTGTGAGCATAATATAAATTTCTGATTTCCCACTCTCCCACAAATATTGACAAATAACTCAACAAGTGTCAAAACATGATCTTTGCATTATTCATTTTAATGTGGATGTGAATCATGTGATACTATGCGTTCATTTACTGTACATTACTGTCCATTGTCTGTACTCTGTACTCTTCCAGTCTTCCAGCAAATGTGGGACGTCATCCATTCGCAACTGAAATTCATTAAAGAAATAACACTGTGAGAAGAGAGTTAAAAAAGAACAGGTATTCATAAAAAAATTCAATAGACGACTTAACTTAAACATATACGCCGTGCAGTTCACAGTTGTTTTATAATCCACGACTAACACAGGGAGAACAATAGTGAAATGAAAATCAATCCTCCCCTTCCATAAAAAATCCCTTAACAAAACAATCCCTTACACTGTTACACAAAGCAATTATAAGAACTGGATGTAATTTAATTCCCAGCCCACCTAGGTTGTTCGCAAGGACAAATAACGTGACTACCTAGTTTCTGTTTAAATGGAAGGCTTACGCAATGTCTTGATAAAAAAAAAAGTAGAATGCTTCTAAAAGTGAATAAAAGGTGATGAAAATCACAATAACACATTATGTTAAAATTTCATTTTATTTAGAAAAACTAGCATATACATTAAGATATAGACTAATCCCACCAAAACGCTCCATCCAAACAGATTCTTAAACATAATATTTTGTTTTGGAAGAGGCGAAGAGCAATTGAGTTTCCTCTTACTTTTTATTTAGGGCAACCAAACGTTGATAATCTCTCAGCAATTGAGTTTCCTCTTACTTTTTATTTAGGGCAACCAAACGTTGATAATCTCTCAGCAATTGGCCAAGTTCGTTCAACTGTACTGATTTTGACAAAGATTACTCCAGCGCTCAGGAAGTACTTGTGTAGCCTTTATAATCAGAGAAGATAATGAAAATGAAACCAATTGAGCATTGTTTTCATGTGGAAAATCGTGACCAGCAAACGATGTAGCTGAACCTGTTTGCCATCACGAGCCCCTCCAACCACCTGATATGCTAGTTAAATAAATTTTCTATCCTCCGTCTCATCGATAGTCAACTTCGGATTTGAAAGTGAAACAGAAAGTTGTAGCCTTTTCTACAATTCTAAGACAGGAGATCCTTCAATATGGCTTTCCTGTAAAGATTAAAATTTAAACACAAAATATCATTTTGTACTAAAAGCCTCCACATTTATATGGATCTCCATGGGAGTCAGGAGACAAAACAGAACCTATCCTTTATAAAATTATAAACCTATTCCGAAAATCATTAGGGAGAACGTGTGTACTCCCTCTGTACCAAAAAATTCTTCCCACTTACCTTTCTGGATGTTCCAAAAAAATCTTCTCATTTCCTTTTATGGAATGGTTTACGTGGCTAACATTCACTTATCTTTTTCAAACTCAACCACAACGACACATTTCCACTTTATTCCCACTATATTATTAAGCGTGCCATGTCAAACTCAGAAGATTTTTTTCAGACGGAGGGAGTAATTTAAATATTCTTCATGAAAAAGGTTCAAGTAACATCACACAAAAGTAAGCATACTCTGATGCAGAAAAGATATGGTTTACTTGCAATATGAAGACATTTGGCTCTTGGTTCTGAAGGGAAGATGAAAAAAATGAAATGTAAACCGAACTAAGGAACTACATTAAGGTTTCACCTTAAGAAGACAATTTCACATGGTGGCACAATGGTTTTCAGGGACATCCCTGGAGGGAGATGTTGCTACTGGCTTTGCAGTTGGATCCTCTACCGAACAGTGATAAGATGTCAAGGGTAGGCAAGCCTATATCAATTCTCAAAGAAAAGTGAAAAAAAATGAGAACCCATTCTTTTTCTATATAAGGAATGAAACAGTGTATTTTTCAAAACGACGCTTAAGGAGTGCTTGTGTATCCTTCTACTTTTGTGAAGTGATTTATTATAGAGATCATATGAAAAGTGATTAGTAGTAAAAATCGATAATGTTTGAAGAAAAAATGATTAAATAAAAGTAGAAGCTAGAGTGTTTGACTGTTTGATGAAAAAGAACTTTTTTGTGTACTAGAAAAAGTGAAAAGCAGTTTTAAGCATCTCTCCTCCTGCTTTTACAGCTGTTAGCTTTAAACTGCTTAACTGTAAGCATCAGAACCTGCTTGAAACTGCTTTGAACTGTTTTAAAGCAAAAGTCATGAAAACATTTTTTGAAGCTGTTGGAAACACTCTTATAGCTCATCTTGGTACATTCAAATCAAAGTGCACTTTGTCCTTGGATGTGCCGAAACTGTTAACTAGGGATTGATTGATGTTTCAATGGGCACCTTTTCAACTCGCATAATTCTTCGTACAATAAACAAGTTACTTGTACATTGTACCTTCAATCATTCTAGCAATATAAACCCCCAGAAAAAATGTTATAAAGTGGATGAAAAAATAAGCATAATAATAACTTGGTGATAGGAAAACATATGGAAAAATCTATATCAGCCAAATAAGTAGAATACAACAACATCCAAGCCTTAGTCCCAAAAGATTTTTGGCTCGGCAGCCAAATAAGTAGAATAATTTAGTGATAGCTACTTATTCTGTGATAGGTACACGGTAAAAACAGCTAGTATATTGACGGTAATCTGAGGTTTACAATGACGGAAATAAAAGAAAATGAAGAAACAGATCGAGACTTTTCGAGAGGCCTCACTCTCCAGCCTAATTCCAACTGAATTCCAGCCTATCTTTCCCTCTTCTATTCCTTCTATTTATTCTTTTCCAAATGAGGCTTCCCTCAATCTAATTACTTGGCCCAGCCCAGTAGCCCACTATTACATTTTATTAAAATATTCAGTATTATTTCTATTATATCTCACGCCATAAGCCCATAAGTCCTGGTCTCTATCATTCTGTTGATAAGTAGAATAGGCGCATAAGCCACGTTTAGCTACCAAATAGGCTCTTTAACTCAATTCTGTTTGTTGTTAGGTTGACGAGCATGTTTGACGAGTAGGCTTAACTACTAATGTAGATCATCTGGCTTACTAAAAAGCTATAGAAGGTCTAGAAATATGAGGTTAGATAAACGTCATAGCGTGAATCTGTTTGAAAATGGGATTTTCGGAAAGGTTTAGATCAGCTGAGAGGAAGTATGGCAGAACAAGAAGTTTCTATGAGAAACCGTGGCACGACCATTTAATTTTTGAAGACATTAAAGCATTACATAATCACGTGTCGCTAACATTGGAAGTAATATCAAGTAAAAGACAGTATCAAGCATATAGAGAATGCAAGAGAGCTAAACATGTAAGTTTCTAATATAGAGAATAAAATTTTAATTTCAAAAACTAGAATATAAGAAAAATATATACTTAATAGAGGCAATACTTGTATCCAGATTGAAGAGTATAGACTTCAAGCAACCACTTTTTACCGTCCCAACATCATACCTGCACTCCAACTAAATTAATAAGAACACTAAAATGAGAAAAGGCAATTAACCACTGGGCAGTTGAAACTTACAGAACAATATTATAGTTCCCAAAAGCACCTGCAAAATATCTTTCCAAAGGCATGCCACCTAAACTTGTAAGTTCTGGCCATTGCCACCATTGCCAGATATCTAGAATTTAAAAATAAAAATAGAAAATGACTCAGGCACCACACTTTTAAGCAAATGAGCATCTCTTGAGGAATGAATTGTTATTTCATCCCCTTAGCATCAAGATTCCTTTCTTTCAGTAAAACAATCTCATGCTGTTAGTTTAGATAAATTTTAGTAAGAGTTTGTCTTTACCAGTATCCAGGACCCAAGAGTATCCTAGCTTGCCAGTGAAGAAACTCAAATTAAGTGCATCTACAAGGGAAAGAATATAGAGCAGGGTACTGGGCTATCATTTCAGTATCTTCAATCCAAGGGATGTACAGAGATTGTAATAGACATCATGGAATTTCGTAAGTATTAAAACTACTCTGTAAATGACCAGCTATGTCACCAGTAGTCTCTACACGAACATGATCCATCTCTAAAATGATGGAATCTGCTTGAATCTCGAACACTAATTCCCCTCCCAACAATTTTTGATATTATTTTGATGGCAGCATGACAATCCATACATGCTCGCAAGTTTTTCATCACTACAATAGGCGATCCTTCTGGAGTACTGATTAAAGCAAACGCAATAGCTAATCTTTCACTATGATACTTCAGTGAATCTATCTTAAATTCTTCATCAACATTTTGTAGTGAACAGCTTGTGTCCGGCTTGTATCCTTCCTTTTCCATCTCCTTCCCCAACGAGTCAATTTTCTTTCTAATTGCATCAGCTTGTGGGTGGGTTCTATCGTTTGCAGTAAATTTATGTACTGCATGGTCAATTTCAACCCAACTACATGCTGCTACTTTCTTAACTCCTTTTTCCCTCATACCCTTTTTCAGAGTTGCTACTTTATTCCACTGGCCAGCCTCTGCATAGATGTTAGACACATTGGCATAAGCATAAGCAGCAGCATTTAGCGTGTCCATCTTGAATAGTTGGTCGGCAGCCTTTCCTGCAAGTTCATGATTCCTATAAATCCTGCATGAGTTCAAAACTGATGACCAAAGGATCTCATCTGGCACATATGGCATTTTGGCAATTAACTCCTCGGCCTCATCAAATCGTCCATTTCTACACAGCACATCAACCATAGTTGTATAGTGTTCTCTCTTTGGATCCAAATTATATGATTGGGTCATCAAACTAAAATACTCCCGTGCAGCTTTAACAAGCCCATGATGACTGCATGCAGTTAAGACACTGAGGAAACTAACTGAATCAGGATAAAGACCGGATTCAGTCATTTCATTAAATGACCTCAGAGTAGCTTCATCGTCGCCGTTTTGAGCATAAGCTGAGAGCATTGCATTCCAGGAGACTATGTTTCTATCAGGCATCTCTTTGAAAATCTTAATCGCGTCACTTATGGACCCACATTTTGCATACATGCCAAGGAGGGCACTTCCAGAGAAAACATTAGACATCAATCCCAGTCTGATAATATGTGAGTGTAACTGCCTCCCTAGTGAAACCAAAGCCAAGTTTGCCGAAGCTTTTAAAACACTTGCAAAAGTAGCCTGGTCGCCGTGAACACTTTGTCTACCCATTTCCTTGAACAACTCTACAGCTTCCTCAAAAAGGCCCTTTTGGACATATACGGATATTATTGCTGTCCAAGAAACAGAACTATAAGCCAAATTAGCAAATATGACGTTTGTTTCCTTTAATTTGTCACATTTTGCATACATGTCAACTAGAGCATTCCCTACTTGAATCTCTGAATCTGTTTTTGTCACTATTGTCTGCGCATGGATTTGCCTTCCCAAATCTATATTCTGAGTAGTTGCAGCAATGCTCAACATAGTTGCAAATGGAAATTGTCTTCTGTCAAATGTAGTGCTCCTTAATTTGCGTAAGAGATGGAATGATTTTTCATACTGACCATCCCATGCAAATCCTGTAATTATAATATTATAAGAAACACCATCCAGCTCAGGCATTTCATCAAACAGTTTAATCGCATCAGCTAAAAGGCTCTGTTTAGAATAAAAGTCAAGGAAGGCATTGCCTACAAATACATTACACACAAAGCTGGTCTTAATCGCAAGTGCATGGACTTGTTTCCCAAATGCAGCAGCATCCAATCCAACAATAGCACCAATTACCGTAGCAAAAGTGAAATCTGAAGGCTTCAGGCCCAAATATTGCATCTCTTGAAAGAGCATTAGTGCTTCTTCATTTGAACCATGTTTTGAGTATCCCGTGATCATTGCATTGTAGGTCACCGAATCTTTATCCGTGATTTCTTCGAAGAGTAGAAGGGCTAGATCAAGGTGTTGGCACTTACAGTAAGAATCCACCAAGCTATTGCTCACCAAGGAAACTGAACTGTTTCCCAATTTAATGATATGGGCATGAATCTGAAGCACTTCTTTTGCAGTTGATGTCCCGCCACAACCAGATAAAAGTGTTGCAAAGGTGATATGATCTGGATTCATTCCTGCTCTACACATCTCAGCGTAGAGTGTAAAAGCTTCCTTGGGTTGCTTGTGATGTGAGTATGCACCAATCATTATTGTCCATGACACCTCTGTGCGGTCAGGCATACTATCGAACATCTCACTGGCACGAGAAAGATTGCCAGAACTCACATAACCTGAAATCATCATATTCGCTGAACATGTGTTTCTACAAGGCATGCGTTCGTAGAGTTCTTCGGCCTGAGCTATCTGATTGCTTCTGACTAAATCCTTCAGCTGAAAGTTAAACCTAGAAGTTCTGGGATCAAAGCCGGTTTTTATTATGAGGGCATCCACATGAACTTCAACTTCATATTTACTGCTGTTGATACATTCAAAATTTAATGTATGTACACACTCCTGATGAAGAAAGTAATATCAGGCTAAAACAAATTATTAAGAGAAACTAGTACCGAGAGTAATATCGCTTTGCAAAAACTGTGAGTGCATTCCAATGCTTTGTAGATCTTGAATGGGCCATGACCCCGTAAGGGATCATGAGTTTAACAGCCATTTATGTAATTTTTAGCAATGTCAATGATGAATGCCTTATCAACTACTCCTTCAAAAGTTACAAGCTCACAACCTTCGATTTTCAGGTGTTCACGGTGGTGTGTTCAGACGTCCACTTGAAAAGAAAGAACGATGTAAGCATATTTTAAGAATTCAGAGTATTTCAGACGTCCACTTACATGACACAATTAACAAGTGAATGAAAAAATTCAGAGTACAAGAAAATGAAACGTCGGTCATAAGTATGACTGGTCAAGCTTGGATACAAATTTTGCACTTCACTGAGCATGGACACAGGCCAACAGGTGAGTTGTGATACTTTGAAGAGAAAAATGTTATTTTAACTACAAGGAACATATCAAATTTGTTTGGGGTACTTCGAAATAAACAACATGGAATGTAATTAAATTAACTTCTTTTTTGAAATTGGACTACTTTTCCTGACAGAAATTATCGTCCAAAGAGGAATTTATTTTTAAATGGAAGGAGTAATAAATTAACAACACTTTAAAATAATTACTTAGGGTGCACACAGAAAATAAGCAACCAAACAGGCAAATACACAACATTAATTTAAAAAACATTGGAAAATGTAGGTTGTCACGCGTTGTCCTGTTGAGACTTTGAATGAAATCCAACTTATCTGAACTTTAGTACTAATTTAGCGAACTGTGAATTTATTTTAAGTTATCGTGTAATTGAGATATTTGCATTGTAAAATCTTAATAGAAAGTCTTCCCATAAGAGTAACTTTTGGACTCCATAAATTGTCTTATATTGAAGTTCCGGTATATAGAATAAATTAACAACATCAGCCAGACTACTACCCAATACCAACATTAAAATCCTTAATAGGAATACTTGACGATTAACATATGGGGTTTGAAGGGCTTGAAGTTTTTATTTAAATTTGAAACAATATGTTTGTGCTTTTCTGAAGTTTTAGAAATTAATCTTGAATGAAAATGCTCAAAATGGAGTATTTATTATCATCTATTAAGATTAGGATATTTTATGGTCAATACTCAATAAATGGAGTTCACATAGATTGAAGTTTTTTATTTAGATTTGAGACTGGGTTTATAAAACAATTCAATTTATAAAATTTAAAAATTAGAGCTAGCTCGCGTGCCAAGAAGGCAAGAATGTAGCAGATAATGTTGATAAACTTGATACCATACCCAATAACTTCCAAAATTTTGATTGTGAAGGTCAAATATTTGTACCAAAAACTCTTCCAAAACCCGAGAAGTGGAGTCCTGGAAGTTATTTGCGCAAAATTTAAAAGATACTTTAGAAAAATTAGTACTATATATTCTTTTTTACTTTGATTCAAATGGGATTCTTTAGAAAAAATCAGCCTTGGGTTTCCAGAATATGTGCCCCTATTATACAGCTTGCCTAGCTCGAAAGATATAATTTGTACTTTATAATAATATCGTGATTTTATGAATTCTCTAGTAGGCAAATAAATTAAATATTATTAGAATTATTACTTCCAAATGAACCAAGCTAAAAGAAGAGTCTTATTACTAAATGACCAAGCGAATTCAATGTGCCATTACCTGAATCACCGAGAGCAATGAAGACTCTTACCTCAATCGATTCCAAAAAGTAATTAACCAAAGCCAAATAAGAGAAACAATCGCAGGGAATTTAAAGAAAGATACAAGCAGAAAATTTTGAGATTAACAACAACAGAATTTGGAGAAGATGATTCTAACCCAATGCGTTGAAGAAGGATAAATTGAAATTTATCATATAGCCGAAGCCCATGAGTGTGCAGAGATAGAGAACCGAGTGCAATTGGAGGAGATGTACAGAGAAGATATGGAGTGGATACTTTTTTGCATCTTGCATGATGGTGAGGCTGCCGAAAGAATGGTCTGGGAATGAAATTTGAATTGGAAAACGGGGAAATAAAAAGATCACCCATGTTACCAAAATTATCTTAAACAATTTTAAAAACTTTCTTAAAGACAGTTGTGTCTTTAAATTGGTTAAGAAAAACTAATTCTACAAACAATAAGTCCAGCACAGACAAAAAATGTACAACATGTCTTGTCTATCAAATTAAACGAAAATTAGTGCAGTCATTGGACTCCGGGAAAAAGAAGATATGAGAGTGCAAAATCAGCGGCGTGCAAATCAATGCCTGTGCGCAGATATTAATTATTTTTTTGAATAACTTTTCAAGATTTTCAGCTTCATTTCTCCACACAGACAAATGTCTTTGACCAAACTAATTGTCTTTATCTAATCTGACCCATGTGTACAAAAAGTTAGTACAATTTTCATTTTCCTAGAAAGACAGCAAATGATCGTAAGGGATAGAAGAAATGGAAGCTTCATTAATTGCGAAAGTATGGAACTTTTTTGTGTCACAAACATTTTATATATATGTAGGGGATAAATATTAGGTTTTAACACATGACAATGCGAAACAAATTAAATCATGAAGGTATGCTTCAAGTAAAATGAGTAAAGGATGAGATGACTGACCTTAAATGAAAAATGGAGACACTTGTAAGCAACAGCAAGGCGAGAAGACACTGCAGCACAGCTTCACTTCGAGGGTTTTGAAATCGTAAAAAGCAAATGTTTACCGCGCACTATGTCTTCACTCGTGCGCACTCTAGAAACTTCATAGATGGTCACTCATCTAAGATTAATCCTGTGTAAGTACGTTTAACCTTAGAGTTTTGGGAAAATAACTTTAAATAATACAAACTATCTTCCATGAACCAAGAATAATACAGTACATACTTTGGAAATTACTTTTAATAATACCAACTATCTAAATATAAACCAAAAGTGATATAGAGCAATTTTTCAATGAAAATTCAGTTATTTAATTCATCAAAAACTAGTATCGAAATATCAAATAAGTGATTGTATTTCCAAATATCATTTATTTGATAGTTTGCTATTAGTTTTTAATGTCTTAAATGACTGGATATCTTGATGAAAGGTGACTCCATATTATTTTTGTTTTATATTCAAATAGTTGGTATCATTAAAAATCATTTTCAAAGTATGTATTATTATTGGTTTATGGGTGATAGTTAGTACTCCCTCTGTCCCCCGAATATTGGTACGGAAGGGAGTGGTGTGGTTTTTAAGAAAAGTAGAATTATGTAGTTGGTAAAGAGTTGATAAAGTGGAAATAAAGTAAGAATGAATTAGAGCCACACAAATGTTACCAAATATGGTATGGGACAATAATAAAGGGACATCCAAAAATGGAAAAATGGGACAATTATAGAGGGACGGAGGGAGTATTATTTAAAATTATTTTCCATAGAGTTTTTAAAGTTATTGATATGAGATGAGATGTACTATTAATACTTTTAAGTTCTTCTAGGGTATTACAATCACCCTCCCTTAGAAGCTCGTTGTTCTTGAAAGCTAATCTCCATCAAGCCCTAGAATCCTCCCTTGTTAAGTGCCCAAACCATCATATCAACCCAGTGAACCCACTATTACATGATTGCTCTAAAACTACTTGTAACACCCCTTAACTTGTAACACTCTGACACCATGGGGTCCAAGTTGCTAAGATACCACTTGAACCACCCCATCACTTATGACATATATTTTGACCTCTTCGGGGTCCGAGACCGTTACTCCTATATCCTTTCTAGACCCACCATTGACCTCACAAATCAAAACAAGTTTTACGGCGTGTTTTGCCCTCACTAATGCGCACCTGGAAAAACTTTACAGGGGTCACTCATCCTAAAACTACCAATGTGCAAGCACGCTAATTCTTATACTTCTTAGCAGATGAGTTATCTTGACGTAGTTGCACCTTTTTTATATGAGTTGTATTGTGTGCGCATGTATCTCTTTTCTAATTCACATCCTTATGTGCAATGTCAAGACTATGTACATAAAATACATAGAGTTAGTATACATAACCCTGATTTTATTTATGTCGCAACACTATCAACTATCGAAAATTATTCAAATTTAATACATTAGCTAATGCATTGTTTAATTAACTAATTTAGTAGTCTATTAGCCATCCATACAATCTATAAACTTATATTTGCTTTTAGTGTATTGTACTTAATAAAAACGATCTTGTCTAATTTCTTAGAAGTTAGAAATATAAAATCATTACTTCAAACTTTCTAAGAACTTAATTTGCTAATACAAAACTAGTGTACTCTAGTCCCTTTACTACCTTTAGGAATCGGTGTACTCTAGAATACCTCAATTTTGATTAGCAACTCATGCATCAAACGAAGAACACTCAATGCTCGTCCCTTTACTACCTTTAGGAATCGGTGTATAAAATTGTATCATAGGAATTCTGTGTCAAACAACCTAGAAAGACTACACAATAGTTCATAACAAACTACACCATCAAATCCACAATTACAATACAATTAAGAATTAGTAATTTATTAAATGAGAATAATAATTAATAAAATCCACATTACAAACTTAGCACAAAAAATTAACAATTTCAGAAATGCAAATAATGAAATAATAATAATAATAATAATAATAATAATAATAATAATAATAATAATAGTAATGAAATTATAATAATAGTAATAAACTACACGGCTGGACTCAGAAGTAAAACCTGGCCTGGCGGGCGGCGGCTTGCGCTCTGGAGTGCAAAACAGCGGAACCGGAAGGCCGGAATCGGAAACTGTGGCAAATTCCGCCTAGAGTCTGGACGTGTCGACAGACGTTGTCAACTTGTCGTTTGCTTGGGCTGAGTAGATGGGCCGACGGAGGGAAGGGCCTGTCTTATTAAAACAGTTGTGTGGCGGGATGTATCATGTATGGGGTAGGCTTAGAAGCTGTTCTATTCGTCTTAATCTTATTACTTATTCCTTATTCTTATTTTATTCAGATCAGATCAGATCAGATCAGAAAGATTCAGATCAGATCAGATCAGATCAGAAAGATTCAGATCAGATCAGATCAGATCAGAGAGATTCAGATCAGATCAGATCAGATCAGATCAGAAGCATTCAGATCAGATCAGAAGCATTCAGATCAGATCAGAAGCATTCAGATCAGATCAGAAGCATTCAGATCAGATCAGAAGCATTCAGATCAGATCAGATTAGTTCAGAAATTATTATTACTGTTATTATTACTATTATATAATATTATATATTACTGTTATGTTTTACGGAGTAATTTTTAATATTGATTTTTTAATAAATGCTAAAATTGAGTACTCTGTGCCAATCCATCTAATCTAAATATATAATAATGTCACCATTTGATCGAGAAGAATGAATTGAAGTACAAACATTTATTCAATATCAACTTGCGATTATGGTATCAACTTTCGCACTGCACAACTTTATCCGTCTTTACGAGTTGGATATTCCAATTTCAAGTGCAATCAAATATTTTTATTATTATTAAAAAGGTTATTAATATCACTACTTATTATTATTATTATTATTATTATTATTATTATTACTACTACTACTACTACTACTACTACTACTACTACTACTATTATTGTTATTATTATAATTATTATTATTGTTACGGAGTATTATTTTTATTATACTTATTAAATAATAATACTCCCTCCGTTCCTAAATAAACTTCCAACTTTCCTTTTTCGTCCGTTCCAATTAAAACTTCCACTTTCCCTTTTTAGTATAGAATTTGTGGTTCACAACATTTCTTACACATTTCTCTCTCCTCTACACAATTCTCCACCACACAATACCCACTATCTTAAACTCTGTGCCAAACCTATTTGGAAGTTTTAATACGAACGGAGGTAGTAATAGTTATTATTACTATTATAATTATTATTGATGTTATTATTATTATTATTATTGTTATTGTTATTATTCTTATTATTATATACCAATTTAGAAAGTTAAGATCAGATCAGAAGGATTCAGATCAGATCAGAAACATTCAGATCAGATCAGAAACATTCAGATCAGATCAGAAACATTCAGATCAGACCAGACAGATTCAGATCAGATCAGAAACATTCAGATCAGATCAGACGGATTCAGATCAGATCAGATCAGAAAGATTCAGATCAGATCATATCAGATCAGAAAAATTCAGATCAGATCAGATCAGAACTTAAAAAATTCAGATCAGAAACATTCAGATCAGGTGAAGAGAACAGCTTCTCAGTGGTCTGGGCTGCAGGGACTGGATACATGCTATTGGATTTATTACTCTGTGTCTCCGTACTCCGTAGTATAAACTCTCTTATTCCTAAAACTTTGTTATGTCACTAACTTTCCAACTTTCTATCTTACTTCAAGAATTAATGACTCCAATTTTATGTCTCCACTGTACAAACCTTAATCACACACATATATAAATGTGTGTAAGGGATGATTCAAATGAAAAGAAGTCTTAACGTGGAAAATAAGTGATAGAGTATATCTAGAGAGAAGTGAGAGCTAGAGAGAGAAGTGCAATAATATGCTTCAATAGAATGAATTTGTAACCCATATAACTACTCCCAAGGGGAGTATTTATAGAGAAAATACGGGCTGGGCTCCCAAGCCTTGGGCTTGGGAGGCCCATTTACAACTGGACCGCTACTGGGCCGAATACAAAGCCACTAATTGGCTGTACAAATGAGTAAGTGTAAAATCCGGTTCTGTGAGGTCTTCGGGGCCGACGAGGGCGTGGCCGACGAGGGCGTGGCCGACGAGGGCACGGCCGACGAGGGCACCTGGGTTCCTTGGCTTCAGGACCATATTCTGAGTTGGTACCTTCTCGGCCGACGGGGGTCCCTTGGCCGACGAGGGCACCACTCAGTGTCTTGTGCTTTCTGTTCTTCTGAGTATGTGGGTCCGGGGGCTCAGACCCATATACTCCATCAAGAGTCCCCCACTCTCTAAGTTGAGGTGTAGACGAAGTGAAGGAGAGTAGATTCTCGTGCTTTGGTGCTTTTGGCCGATGCGGGCACTCCCAGGCCGTTGGCTGTTGCGGCGTTGGCGCTGTTTCCATTTTGGTGATCTCGTCCTGTGCTTGGCCGTTACCTGTTCCTCGCTGTGGACGGGGAGGCCGTTGTTTCCTTGGTGTGTTCGTTTGGGGATGATGAGTGTCCTGCTTCGATGGTGGCCGTTGAAGGCGTGTCTTCCCTTCCTTGGACGTTGATGGTTGAAATTTACATTTGGGTCGATGAGGCCGTTGAGGTTGAACCTTGCTTCGAGGACGATGACGTCCTTTCCTTTGGGTGGCCGATGAGGGTGCTTGCACACTCCCTTTGGCCGTCGCTGATTGGGTTTCGTGTCCTTGGCCGGAGAGCCCATTATGATTAACTGTTGGCGGAGGACGATGAATGTCCTTGCCTCAGGTGGCCTGTTGGCCGTTTCTGACGGTGTTATGTGCCTTTGGCCGACGAGGCTCCATGTGATATATGGACGGTGCGGCCATGCTTTGTGGTTACATTTGTGTTTGCATTTTTCCTTTGTCTGTATTGTTGAGGCCGATGTAGTCCCCCAGTTCCCCACTGCTTCAGGCCGAAGAGTGTGAGTGGTCGTCACGGGCGTTCATGATATTCCTGACCGTTGTCATCTCCTTATTGGTGGCATTTGTGAACTTGGCAAGCATATAGGCCGTTGTGGGCGCTTGCTGGCACTTGTGAAGCCGACAAGCATATAGGCCGTTGTGGGCGCTCGTTGTTCGTGTGATCCGTAGGCTTTTACTCCGCCGATAAGTTGGTTCACGAGCCCGGCCCATTTCTGAAGGGGTGGCACCTCATCGGCTGCTGGGAAGGTGACCGCTGAGGTGGCCATTGATATGGTGCCACGTGTAGTGACCGTTGGAGATTTGTCTATAAATACCCCCCCTCTTCCGAAGCGGTTCCTTACTTGCATTCTTGAGATATCGAAGTGCTGCCCGAATTTCTAGAGAGAGAGAGTCTTCAAGGTGTTCTTCGAGTTCTTCATACCTTCAAGGTTAGTTCCTTGACTTGTTCTTCAATTCCTTTGCATACTTTGCTTCCCTGAGCCTTGATCTAGTGTTAGTGGACAAAACGCCTTAGATCCGAAGTAATTCCCCTTAGGCTCGTAATAGTTGTTATGATGAAGAGCTTAGACGAGGAATACTATCCGTACGACGGCCAGCCTTCCACTAGGTCCCTCGACTATGAGGTGCTTGAGGAGTTCGAGGAAGAGATAGAGTGTCTAAGTCCTTACAAGTCCGGAGAGCCTATGGACGACGAAGGTGAGGACGAGGAGTCCGCCTCGTCTTCAAAAGGTGAGGACACGGGTGCGTCCTGAGTGGTGGACGGGGCGTCCACTTCCGCTGCTATCCCGTGCCCGAGATCGGTGTCTGCCGTGAAGGGAGCAGAGAAGCCGAAGAGAGTAAGGAGGCCGAAGAGTGGGCCAGTCGTCTCCTACCTGGATCTCACAAATATTTACCTGATCAAGACGGAGAGCAGTGCGGCTGACTACTTAGTTGCCCAGATGTACGTGGGGCCGTTCGGGAGGGTTAGGGCACCCAGGCCGACGGACCATGTACTCAATCCGCCACCGGGGTACTTAGGAGTATACCCGATGAGTTTCGCCAAGGGGCTGAGGTTTCCCCTTCATCCCTTCATCACTGAATATCTAGACATGGTGGGACTCCCTCCGGCCTTGCTGACCCCGAACAGCTACTCGTTGATGGTGGGGTTCTTGCTCCGCTGTGAGGAGTTGGGCTACAGGCCGACGACGGCTCTGTTCATGAATCTTTATCAGATTGGCCGAGGAAGCCACAAGAATTGTGCGGCCTATGCTACTCTCCAACAGTTGCCGAAGAAGAGGAGCTTCACGGACTTGCCTTCGTCCATCCATGGATGGAAGAGCAAGTTCGTTTTTGTATCCCTTGGTGAGAACGGCACTGAATTTCCCTCTCTCGGCCACACTGGGAGGTTCAATCTGCACGACCCGCCGAGGAGTTCGATCTTGGACGCTCAGGTGGAGGCGTTCTTGGAAGGGGGGCCGAGGAGCGTGAAAGACTACATCACCGAGTATAAGATGACCGCCCTCGGCTTCTTTAGGTATTATGTGTATGGTGACAAGGAGGACGATGTCCAACTGTGGCCGAGGATGACCACTACATTTGAGGAGGCCGACGGCCTGGATTTGGGCATTCCTGCTGAGGCCGATGGTAATACTTCCTCCGGCTTTCCTCCTTTGTTTTTGTTTCTTCATTTTGCTAACCTGTTCATTTTCCTTTGTGTAGATTTTGTGATGGATCGCCGTTCGATCATGGCCATAGCCAAGGCCAAGGCGGCCGAAGAGCTGGCTGCGAAAGCGGCCGAGGCGGCGAGGCGTGTTGCGGCCGAGGGGGCGGGGCTACTGCTGGTGCGGCCCCGAAGCCCGCCCAGTCCAAGAAGAAGAGGCCTCCCACTGACGGCTAGAAGAAACTGACCGAGGCTGGCCTGAATCTCGCTAAGAAGACGAAGAGGGTGTCGTCTCCTTCCCATGCCGATGAGGTCGGCACTCTGACCGTCCCAAATGTGGACGATGGTGGTCCCGTTGTGGATCCTACCGCTGCTCCAAGCGACGCTGCCCCATCGCTCCCTCTCGTCCAGGAGCCTCGGACGAAGCGGGCCGGCAAGGAGATTGCCGCTGCCACTTACCAGAAGATGGTGGAGTACCCCGTTGGCGGGGGTGTCTTTGACGATGGCGTCCTCGGCCATGATGTGCTGACCCAGGCCATGCCGGCCAAAGATCGGGCCTACCTCAAGAGGCTCGGGGACGTCAAGGTGTACGAAGGCGGGATGGACCTCATCGTCCAAGTAAGTTCCC